AGCCTCACCTCAGGGACAGCTCTGGGCTCACCTCCACACCACTTCTCAGCCTCACCTCAGGGCCTGGGCTCAAAGACAGGAACCTGCAGGGAGGGGACATCATGTGCAAGCTGAGGGCTGCCTGCCTGCACTGGAGTTGTACCCTTCTTTCTCCTTCTAGAACCATCCCAGAACTTAGCCTGCTTTGCTAACATTTACCACACATTTACAGACTAACCTTGCAGATATATATGGACAGACATCTCTATCAACCTGGGGATAGAGCCTCAAGCATGTGCTGCCATAGGAATGGCAATCAGAGAATCACAGAATCAACCGTGTTGGAGAAGACCTCCAAGATCATCAAGTCCAACCCTTGATCCAACCCCGTTGTGCTTCCCAGACCATGGCACAGATGCCACATCCACTCTCACCTTCAACACCTCCAGGGATGCTGACTCCACCCCCTCCCTGCCCAGCCCATTCCAAGGCCTGATGACTCTCTTGGGAAAAAATTGCTTCCTAATATCCAACCTAAACCTCCCCTGGCACAGCTCAAGACCCAGCCCTCTTGTCCTACTGCTGCTTCCTGGCACAGGAGCCCGACCCTCACCTGGCTACAACCTCCTGGCAGGGACTTGCAGAGAGTCAGGAGGTCTCCCCTGAGCCTCCTCTTCTCCAGCCTCAACAACCCCAGCTCCCTCAGCCTCTACTCACACCACTTGTGCTCCACTCCCTTCCCCAGCCTCGCTGCTCTTCTCTGCACCTGCTCCAGCCCCTCCAGGGCCTTCCTCAACTCAGGGGCCCAGAGCTGGACACAGCACTCCAGGGGTGACCTCACCAGCGCTCAGTCCAGCCCAACAATCACTTCCCTGCTCCTGCTGCCACACTCTTCCTCAGCCAGGCCACCAGCCATTGGCCATCTTGGCCACCTGGCCACACTCTGCCTCCTCTTCAGCTTCCTGGCAATCCACACTCCCAGCTCCCTTTCTGCCTGCCTGCTCTCCAGACACTCTGGCCCCAGCCCGGGGGGCTGACAGGGCTTCTTGTGGCCAAAGGGCAGGACCCGGCCCTTGGCCTGCTTGAACCTCATCCCCTTGCAATCAGCCCATGGATCCAGCTTGGCCAGGTCCCTCTGCAGAGCCCTCCTGCCTTCCAGCACATCAACATAGCCCCAGCTTGGTGTCAGCTGTGCATTTGCTGATGAAATGCCTGGTTCTGCAGGAGCTGCAGGTGCTCAAGGGGCAGCAGGACCAAGTCAGGGGCCTGGGGGGCTTTGGGGTCCAGGAGGGTACTGGGGGAGCTGGGGAGGGGCAGACCAAGACAGACCAGGACCTCCTCACTGCACCCCAGATCTCTCCTGGAGCTGGGACACCTCTTCCTGGGACACCTGAGCCCCCCCCAGTGCCCTCCCAGTACAGCCCAGTGCCCCCAGTACAGCCCACTGTGTTCCTGTCCCAGGGTGCCGGGTGATCCCTTCTTGGGGTGGGTTGGAAGGGATTTGAGGGGTGGGCTGGGGGAGATTTGGGGGAATCTGGGGGTTTTGGGGGGATTTTGGGTGCATTTGGGGGAGTTAAAAGGGTCTTGGGGGCATTGAGGGAGTCAAAAGTATTTGGGGGGAGGGGATTAAATGGAAAGAAGGGGGGTTTGGGGACATTTGGGTGGGTAATGGGGCCTAGAGGGGGAGAGGAGGGGCTTCTCTATGAGCAGGTGAGTCCTGAGAGCCCCCTGGTGTCCCCAAGACCCTCGTGGTGTCCCCAATTCCTCCCTTGACACCCCCAATTCCACTGTTCACAAACCCAATCCCTGATGTCCCCAACCCTCCATCTCACCCCAGGAGCCCCCCTGGACCCTCTGACCAAAAACATCCCCCCACACACGCTCACAGAAAGGCCAAGGGCATCTGGGGACACATTGGGGACAGTTGGGGGGCTTTGTGGGGCACTGGGGGATTACTGGGGGATACTGGGACACACTGGGGGGAACCAGGGGGCACTGGGAGGGACTGGGGAGTTACTGGGGGATTACCAGGACACATGGGGGGACACTGGGAGGTTACTGGGCCATACTGGGGGTTACTGGGTGCTCTCTGGAGGATCACTGGGCCACACTGGGGGCCAGTTGGAGGTCCCTGGGACACACTGTGTAGTCACTGAGGGGGTTAATGGGCCACACTGAGGGTCACTGGGAGGTAACTGGGATATACTGGGGGCACTGGGATCCCCTTACCCGGATGTCGTACATCTCCCCCCCGCACTTTGGGGGGCACCCCCAGGACCCCTCCCCTGTGTGCTGGGAGATCCCCTGAACCCCATTGCTGGGCTTTAGGGGACGCCCAGGCCCCCCTTCCTTTGAGGTCTGTGTGCTGAGTTTTGGGGGTCTCTGGGGTTCGGGGGGGAATTGGGATCACCTTTCCCTGGGGTCGGTCCGCTGGGCTGGCAGAGGCATTGTGGGGGGATGGGAAATGGCCTCATAGGAGTTTTAGTTGGCCGTGGCCAGACAGGATTGACACAGAGACCCCCCAAAATCCACGCAAAACCCCTGAAATCCCCTCAGAAATCCACCTCTGGACCCATCCAAACCTCCTCAAAAAAACCTCAAATCGTCTCAGAGACCTCATCTCCCCCCCAAGGACCCCCTAAACCCTCTCAGTGACCTGCAAAACCCACCTGGGACCCCCAAGCCCTTTCAGGGACCCCAAAAACCTCCTCAGGGACCCTCAAAACTGTCTGGGACTCCCTAAATCCCACTAGAAACCCACAAAACTGCTTCAAAGACACCCCCAAAGCCCCCTAGGACCTCCCAATTCCCTCGGAAACTCCAAAACTCCCTCAGGGATTCCCAAACCCCTTTCAGGGACCTTCAACCTCCTCCCTAAGTCGCCTCACGACACCAAACCCCCTCAGAGACACCCCAAAACCTCCTCAGGGATCCCTAAAAGTCCCTAAGGGACCCCAAAGAACAGAACAGCAGAAGAGCTTTCTGTAAAGGAAGGGAGTAAACAATCTGAGAAGGAGGAGTCCAAGGAAAAACTGAAGCAAAGTAATAAAATCATCCTGGCCCTTGCAGTTTTTCCTTCATCTTTTCCTCACTTTTCCTTTTTTTAGGGTTCTTTTTTTGGTTGGGTGGTTTTGAATTTTTTTTCCGAAGGACTTTCTGAGGACCCGAATCGAACATCCGGGTTCTTGGGAGGCCTCCCGGGCCCCGCGGCCCCCGAGAGGGTTCCAAGGCCCTGCGCTCTGACCCTCGGGAACCCTCGAACCCCCCCCGCCAAACCCTCCCGAGCCCTTCAGCCTTTCCACCCACAGCCGCGCTCCCCGCAGCCCCCGAGGGGATCCCCAGAGCCCGCTCTCCCCGCCAGCTCACACAGACAGAAACAGGCCCCGCCGCCATCACCGATTCCCGGAAGCCAACACGGCGCTCTGCGCGCGCACCGCGTTTCGAGAACACCGCCGCAGCCAATCAGCGCCTGGCCACGCCCCCGTACGCCTGCCGCCGCGCCTGCGCCTTGCGCGGAGCACCACGGGAGTTGTAGTCCTTGCGGCGGATCATAGCGGCCATTTGCACGTGAGTGGAGCGAGGCTAATACGTTTTTGGTTTCTTTTTTTCTGTCTTTTTCTTTTCTCTTTTCTTTTTCTTTTTTTTTTCCCTTTTTTCTTTCTGCTTCCTTCCCGCCCTTTTTTCTTTTTTCTTTTTTCTTTCTATTTTATTATTTGTCACATTTTTCCTGTTTTCCTGTCTTTTTTTTCTCTTTCATTCTCCTTTTTCTCTTTTTTCTTCCTTTTCTTCTTTTTATTTACTTTTTTCTTTTTTTCCTTTTTCTTTTTTTTAACATTGCTTTCTATCAGTTGTATTTTCAAGGAAGATTTAAACACAGATCAAAACAATCTCCACCTACATATCTTATGACAACAGATAATCTGACACTGTTCCAGGTTCATGAGGATTCACAAGATCACAAACACTGAGACATGACGGGTACTCACACAAAAAGCAGCTTTCCCTGCTTTTTTCCACAGGTAAAGCAAGTGTGGAAGGGGCACTTGGCCCCAGGCAAGATGCTTTTACAGCCACTTGAAGCAGCCCAGAGTTGATCTGGCTGGCAAATGAGATTATGCCCACGCTTTCAAGGAGTAATTGCATAGTACATTGAGGGGAAACAGGGCCATTTCTTCATCTCCTGAAGGGATGAGAAGAGGGGGGAGCAGGTGCTGTGACCCCAGAGCTTCTCTCTGCTTTGGGGTCAGTTCTGTGTTTTCCTCTGTACATTGAATTCCCAACAAAGAAGGAAAAAGCTACAGGAACTCCAGTCTGGAGCGGTCAGGACATGTGGAAGCAGGGGAATTTTTCTTCCCAGCTGGGATTGATAGTGCAATTTCACACTCCTTTGGAGAGCATTAACTAAGACATCCCATTTCTGCCCAGGGATCTCCCAGGGGGAACTCAATCCGGGCTGTGGGCAGGTCCCTGCAGGGGCAGCAGCTTCCTCTGCACATTTGAGGTGATAAAGCTGTTCTAACCCTGCACTCCAACTACTCCACAGCAATTTAGGACCTCTGAGGAGAGTTCCCCATTGTTTCAACCCCAGCAGAGACCTGAACACATCCTGTGGGCACTGTGTGACCACCCCTGGCATTAACACCCTGCAGGAATTAAGACACTGACTGTAAATCCACTTGTCTACCTGTAAACCTCCACTTCCTTTGCTACTATACAGCAATAACATTTTCTATTCCTATTGCAGCTACAGACTTAATAAATAGAATTGCACATATTGTGCTTTAGAAATTAAAATGCATTCCAAAGTCAGGCAATGCTAAACAATGAAAGTCTTGAACCCTCCCCCCCAAACCAGCCCCACTTTCTGGTTTCAGAACCAGCCCACTTCCTCACTCTCTTCACAGAGGGAGAAACTCTCTCTTTCCACCTCTGAAACACAAATTCCCTCCCCAAAAGTGATCAGAAAGAGTCTACTTAGGCACTACTGCAAATGGAAGTTGTCCAATAACCATTCCTTCTAACTCAGGAAGGGGAGAAGGTGAAGAAAGTCACGACAAATGTTTGGATTCCTTCCTCTTTGATGTGTTCTCTTCCCTATCTGACGCTCTGGGACGTGTGCAGGGGGGTCAGCATCTCTTCAAAGATGGCTCCTTTCACATCAGAGCCCCTCAAATTGGCTTCCTGGAGGTCACAACCTGATAGGTCACAATTCAGAAGGGGAAAAGAAAAAGAAGTGTCAATGGAATGCACCCAGAACTCTGTTCAAAGCTTTACTTGAAGTCCATTTACCTGAACTCCATTGTAGTCTGAAGCTGGAGAGGTCAGCCAAAAGCCAGCAATCCCCCAAATTACCAGCTGACTATAGTATAGAAAGGAATAGGATGGAAAATTAATCCTAATTCACTTCCAAATCAGTTAAAGCCAACATTGCTCCCCCGAAGTTACAGTTCTTTAGTTTGGCGTTTCTCAGCATTGCAACTCGGAGGTTAATTCCTGTCATCTGACTGCCCTCCATGGCCACTCCTTTCAGGTTGGCACCTGGAACACACACAGAAAGGAGTTCTGTGAAGAAAACCAGTCAGAAACACAGCAGCTCCACACTGGTGCTGCCTCAGAGCTGTGTGAATTGGAGGAGGACAAGGGGATTTCGGGCTGAGATGGTCACAGACCACCAGGGTTGTACAAACCACAGCTCGACATTTTCTGGGCCATAGAAATGCACAAACACAGGCTTCAGTTGGCACAGATTCACAAGGCAAAACCTTCTTACTTTCCAGATTAGCTTTAAGGCCTGATGGGTCCTCAGAGTTGCAGCCTTTCAGGGACGCTCCCTCTGCGTTGGAGCGCAGCATCTTCACCCCTGGCGGGTTGGCACACTGGCACAGACAGGAGTCACTGAGAGCCGGAAGAACAACACCAAAGACAATCAAGAAGACACTTTTAATTTCTGCTTTGAGAGTCAATCCCATTAAATCATTACTGTAAGTGTAAAAGCTTTGGGAACCAGAACAACTCTAGAATCTATTTAAGAACTCGATGTTTTACACCGCTCTGTTTGTTCCAGTTCCTCTCTGTTAACACAAGCCCAGCCCTCCCAAGCTGCAGCAGCTCTTCCATCCAGCACAGAGCCTGACAGGTCAGCCCTCTCCAGGTTGGCACGGGCCAGGTTGCAGCGGCTCAGATTGGCCATCTTGAAGTTGATGTAGCAAAGATCCAGGTGGGAAAGATCCGCTCCACTGAAACTGAGACCCTGGAAATCCCGAGGAATAAACCCCCCAAAAAGGTTACAGAGGAAAAGGGCTAGGTCTGGACACAAAGTTAACATCATTGTGTAGATAGGTGTGCATTAATATTTACAGGGTATAAATATCTAGGTATAAATATATGGATAGAAATGTATTAAAATATATCCTGTCTAGAAATATAGACAGATACAAGATAGATACAGACACACACAGGCCCTGGGAGGAGCTGAAGACACCCCACCAGGGAAGGGGGTTTATAAAAAGGAGGGAGAGGGACTTTTGATATGGGCCTGGAGGGACAGGACAAGGGGCAATGGTTTTTAAACTGAAAGAGGGCAGGGTTAGATGGGAGACCAGAGAGAAATCCTTCCCTGGGAGGGTGGGGAGGGGCAGGGATGGAATTCCCAGAGAAGCTGTGGCTGCCCTTGGATCTCTGCAAGTATCCAAGGACAGGTTGGATTAACCTGGTCTAGTGGAAGGTGTCCCTGCCCATGGCAGGGGGTGGAATGAAAAGACCTTTAAGGTCCCTTCCAACCCAAACCAGTCCATGATTCTATACAGATAAATACACACAAGACCATTTATTCTACTACTTCAGACTAATGAAATCTAAATTCAAAGCTCTCAAAAATTGTCCTTGGTTCATTTTACATTTCAACAAATTGCTCCTCCAGGAAAGCTTCCCCCGAAAGCAGGAATGCAGCCCAAACCACCCTGGAATTCCAAGTCAAGGTCACTGTGCCACAGCTCAGAATCCAAACTCAGTTCAAGAGAACACATTGTTTGCATTTCACGTTGCCACATTCCAGCACCAGACACCAACACTCCAGAGAGGGACAGCACAAGGGGCAGTGGTTTTGATAGAAAAGAGGGAGGTTTAGATGAGATGTTGAGAAGAAATTCCTAGAACTTTGTTAGAAAGAGAAATGTGTTCTCAGCTGACAGTGCAGCTCGGACTTGGGGGGTGTTGCCAGCAGGAACCGGACCAACTCCTTCCGAGAGGTGGGAGAGTGATCCTCAGCTGGTTGGGAATTCTGTTGGGAATGTTGTTCAACTAACTTACAGCACTAAATTACACATCCCCTGCCAGAGCAGGGCAGGTGCATTCAGGTCTTCAAACAAATTCCCTTCATGGCTATTTCCAGGGGTTCAATTAGCAAATCAAGACCAAAAAACCTGGCTTCCTGCAGGACACCTGGAAAGCAAGAGTTTGTTATTTCCAGGGAACTGTTAATCCAGAAATCACCCTTCTCCCTACTGGAGAACAACCACAGACATTGTATTAGATGTAACTGGGCAGAGGAAAAGCTTGCTTGCAGCTAAAAGGAAAAAAAAAATCACTCAGCCAGGATGTTTGCAACACCCAACACCAGCATTGGGTTAAAGGTATCAGCTCCAGAATTCCAGCCAGACATGAATCCAGGATGTAAAACTTTTAATGCTCCCGAGATAAACAAAGAGCCTGTCTTCATTAAATCAAGCAATACCTTCATTAAATCAAGCAATACCTTCAGTAAATCAAGCAACATCTTCATTAAATCAAGCAACGTGGACCTGCAATGCTGTAAGGGGGATACTTTTGAATTAGATGATCAGTGGAGCATAGAGGTGTGAGAAAGAATATATATTAGGATGTGAAACCAGCCAGAGTGCTGTACAATGTAACTTCATGGCACAAGTTAGCTGAAAGGTCCATTGTGTTTTTTAGCAAGTCAACTTGATGTCCCTCATGATCAGAGCTGAGTTCCTTCTTGGCTTGGCTCCATGCTGCAAGATGGACACAAATACCCTTGAAACACAATGGGAGAGGTCGTCCATAGGGGTGAGAAAGATGATGATGAGAGGAAGATTGTGTGGGCAGGGGTCGCTCGCCCCTTGCCCTACAGCAGGGCATGCGCAGACTGTTGCTATCAGGTGATGAACAGGCACGGTTTGGCTGCCACTCAGGCATCACCTTATACTGTGTACTGGCCCTACGTGGTGTAATGTAGAGCTGCTAAAATGGGGTGTCAGGACTGCTGGGGTGAGCAATGCTCATCCTTCACTCGAGGCTGTTGCTCCGTGGGGACGCCCGCTAAGCATGGGCACCGACCAGCTGCTGCAGATCCTGGCAGCCCTGGCCTGTCTGTGTGGGTAAGCACAGTTTATTGATAGGAAGCAACCGAGAAAGAAAATGTTTTATATCCTTTTTTGGAATCCTTTTAATTCCCTTTTTAGTGGTTAATACTGTATTAAAAGCTGTTCATAGTATTGTAGAAATGCCAACTGATAAAGTAGTTTTTCTATACTCTTTTTTAGCTTTTGATTCTCTTTGCTAGTTTTTTATTCTCACTGCAATAAAAGATTTTTTGTAGTGTTTGAATGTCTGTTGTACTTGTCTTTATTCTGGGCATGTATTCCAATGAACTAATACCCGGGGGCACAGCTCTTTGGGGTAGGAGATGGGCAGCACCCTTGCCAGGACTCAGGGCAGTGGCAGGTCTCCTTGGGCCAGGACTTGCCACAGCTTCTGATTTGGGTGCAGCCCTGGCCAAAGAGCTCCCAGCAGCATTGGTGCCCTTGCCCACACCTTCCTTCTCGGTGTCACACCCCCCGTGTTTAGGATGGCCACCAGCCAGCACTTCTCCCAAGGAGGCCGTGGCAGCTTGTGTGGAAGGCCCCGTGCCCTTCCTGCTGCGGCTGCGTCGGCGGCCGAGGGGGCTCCTTGTGCTGCCGTGAGCAGGCACAGGAGGGGAGTGTTTGCTCATTTCTTGAGCCGTTCCCACAGTTCAGGTCCAGCCAGATTAGATACTTCAGAGAGCGGATTCCCTCCAAAGTGGGGCAGGTTGGCCGGGCTGGGGGAGGCCCCAGGCCACGTGGCACCGTGTCACAGGGCCCTTTGTGACATGCTGGGCATGGCCGGTGGAATGGAAGGGGGCAGGGTGTCCAAGGGCCCTTTATGACCCGTAGTGACAGAGGTGCTGCTGGTGACACGGCCGCAGTGTCAACAGTGCTCCTCGGAGCAGGCGACGGGACAGGACGGGACAGAGCGGAGCTGTGCGAAGGCCCCGCGCAGCCAACTCGTGCCTTGCTGTTTCGGAGCTTTTTGGAGGATTTTCTCGCTTCCAGGTGCCCTCGAGGCCTTTCTGCGTGACTTGGAGACCCGGAGCTTCTCCGAGGCGTCTCCAACCCCTTTGGCAGGTGCCCTCGAGGCCCTGCTGCAGGACTTGGAGATCCGGAGCTTCTCCGAGCTGTCTCCAATCCCTGTGGCAGGTGCCCTCGAGGTTTTTCTGCAGGACTTGGAGACCCAGAGTTTCTCCGAGGCGTCTCCAATCCCTGTGGCAGGTGGCCTCAAGGCCATTCTGCAGGACTTATTGACCCGGAGCTTCTCCGAGGTGTCTCTCTTGCAGGTGCCCTCGACACCAGACTGTGGCATGGCAGGGAGACGCTTCAGCCTGCTCAGGCTGCTCCGGAGGAAGAAGGAGGAGGAAAGCCCTGGGGCTGCTCCAGCACAGCAGCCTGAAGAGGTGTAGCAGGTGCAGCCCCCACAGGAGGGTGAGTGCTGGAGCTGGGCCACAGGGCTGGTGGCTGCAGCCCCCTTGGCCTCATCCTGTCCCATCCCCTCTGGACATGCCCAGGGAAAGGGAGGGGGGCAGAGGGGCCGGGGCTGATCTCCTGGCAGCCCTGCTCCATCCACTGGGCATCCCAGGGCTGGCCCTGCCTGCTCCTGGAGCCCAGGCCTGGGCTGTGTTCTCCGGCCTCTCCCGCACACCCTCAGCTCTGAGCGCGCTCGCTCTTTGCCAGATGCAGGCCAGGAGCGGACAGAAGAGCAGCTCCGTGCCCATGGCCGCTTCCGCAGGGCAGCACAGGTACCTGCAGCCATCCCCTCCTGGGCTGGGCGTGCTGTCACTGCTCAGCCCAGCACCGCTGTCGCAGCCCTCCAGGGGACATCCATCTCTTCCCTGCCCTTCTTTCTCCTGCAGACATTTATGAAATTCGTGGGCAGTCGGCGTAGGAAGTCCAGGATCGCATCAGCTGATGTCGAGGCCCAGCCTGACACCATCCCGACCCAGCTGAAGCCAAAGCCTGATGTCAGCACCATGGTGACTGCTGGCACAGCAAAGTGTGACACCGCAACCAGTGATCACACAACCCACTGGGACACCACCTCGAGCGATGCCGTGTCACACTGTGACTCTGCGCTGCCTGGGCTCACGGAGGAGGCCGAAGCCACAACGACGGAGGGCGTGGCGAGCACTGACGCCGCGCCTGTTCAGCGCCTCGCCAATGCCCCCAGCCTGGACTTTCTTGGGGAGAGAGCTGTCTTTGCTGAAGTAAGCAGCCTGTGGCCTCCCAAGCTGGGTGCACTGGTCCCCTCAGCCTTTGAGGCTGGCACAGTGTGCTGGGAAGGGAAGCATTTCTCGGGGGAAGCTGGGCAAGTTGCTCACTCTGGCAGCTCTCCACCTCTCCCCCGTGCATCCACCAGGCCAGACTGTGGCACTTGGGGACCCTGGGGCTACTCAAGGCATCTCCAGTCCCTGGGGCAGGTGCCCTCAAGGCCAGATGGTGGGACTGGATGAGGCGGAGCATTTCCCAGGTTTTACTCTTGCAGCTGCCTTCAAGGCACGACTGCAGGACTTGGGGAGCCAAAGCTTTTCCATGGCATCTCTGCTGCAGGCAGCCATAACACCAGACAGAGACGTGCAGCAGAGCCTCCCCACAGTGCCCAAGCTGGCCTGGGTGAAGGAGGAGGAGGAGGAGGAAAGCCCTGGGGCTGCTCCAGCACAGCAGCCTGAAGAGGTGCAGCAGGTGCAGCCCCCACAGGAGGGTGAGTGCTGGAGCTGGGCCACAGGGTTGGTGGCTGCAGCCCCCTTGACCTCATCCTGTCCCATCCCCTCTGGACATGCCCAAGGAAAGGGAGGGGGGCAGAGGGGCCGGGGCTGATCTCCCGGCAGCCGTGCTCCATCCACTGGGCATCCCGGGGCTGGCCCTGCCTGCTCCTGGAGCCCAGGCCTGGGCTGTGTTCTCCGGCCTCTCCCGCACACCCTCAGCTCTGAGCGCGCTCGCTCTTTGCCAGATGCAGGCCAGGAGCGGACAGAAGAGCAGCTCCGTGCCCGTGGCCGCTTCTGCAGGGCAGCACAGGTACCTGCAGCCATCCCCTCCTGGGCTGGGCGTGCTGTCACTGCTCAGCCCAGCACTGCTGTCAGAGCCCTCCAGGGGACATCCATCTCTTCCTTTCCTTCCTCCTGTAGCTGGTTTGCAGATTCATCAGGTGCATTTGGCGTGAAGAGACCACTTTCATGGCCACTGGGGGCACGGCAAACTCGGACCTCTTCAATGCCCAGACCAGCGCTGCCCTGCTGGATTTGCTTGTGGAGAACGGTGTCTACAACGGGAAGGAAGTAAGCAGCCTGTGTCCAGGGCTCCAGTGCCCCAGGGATGCTGTGGCCCCTCACGCCGGCTGCGCTGGGCCCCATTCAGCCTTTGAGACCAGCAGAGTGTGGGGGCAAGGGGAGCACTTCTTGGGGGAAGCTGGGCAAGTTGCTGGCTCTGGCAGCTCTCCAACTGTTCCCCATGTCCCCTCCAGGTGCCGGCCATAGTCAGGTGCATCCACCAGTGGCTCGCGTGCAATGTGTCTGCTGAGCACAGGCTGGACAAGACTCTTGTCCTGCTGACACAGGCACACCCTGTGGATGTTGCAGTGACCCTGCTGCGCTCTGCCCCAGCCTGTGACAGGTATGGGGCCCACCTGCCTTGAGGGCTCCCCTCCCTTTAGACCCCATCCCCCTGCACAACCTGTCCCAAATGGTGTGCCAGAGAGATGGAGACTTCCAGGACACTCCAGCTCCTCTCTTTGCCAGCTTTGGCATGTCAGCCCCCAATCCTGAGGCCAGCCTGCCTCCCTGCCCCACAAGGCACCATGGCTCTGTCACCTGGGCCCTGCAGCTGCCCAGGCCACAGCGCTGTATCCCAGACCCCCCTGAGCCAGAGTTCTGACTCCACAGAGCTGCTTGCACCATGTAGAGGATGCTCATCTC